GATCGAGGGGTGGAAAAGGAGAGACGTGGGGATGATGGGAAGGTCTGGGGTCGGAGATATTTGGAATGAGCGGGGGGTTTCATCGCATTGCACGTAGTGTCTGTCGTCTTTGCAGCTGGCCGGGGAAGAGAAGAAGAGAGAGAGAGAGAGAGTGGCGGTGTGTGGGCAACCGGCGCGTGAGTTGGACTCGGCTGAGGCCGGTGCGATGGATTTCGGAGGCAAGACGTTGATCAGAGGCGGGGTGCATGATGCGTCGGCTCTGCATGTGCGTCAACTCGGCTCATACAGGGCGGAGGATGCGGCTTGCCTCCGAAGATGGACAGATGTGGTGTTGTTCTATGCAGGACGCCAGGGAAGCACTCTAGTCCGCTTTCAATCTCTGCAGTCATCATGACTTGCTGCTCATCCCATTGGTATAACCATTATAACCATTGGAGGGAAATCACGGCTCATACAACGTTATGATTTGTCCAGCCTGTCGCTAAGATTTGGAATGCGCTGCTACGAGTTCACCTGGGCATGGCTGGTTCCTTGCTACCTCGTGCAGACAGTCACATTTCATTGATAGGTGCAACATGTGTGTGAAGAAACGCATGCCAGCCGCACAACTGTTTAGCCACGGCTAAATCAGATCCTGGCCTCGAACGGAGGACTAATAACTACGGACGGTTTTGAGCCCACGGAGACGGAAGGTTTCTGGGAATTCAGTAGCCTAAGGCATCGTCGCTGGGCTAGTGGTTCGGGTGGCAGTACCATGGTATGCTTGTGCGAGTAACACGGCTTGGATTGAAGACAATGTCCAACTCGAAAGCTGCGATGGCACAAGTCAAAGTGCGTGCGCCCGAAACTTCAATCCTGGCAAATGGGTCACTTGGCATGTCTGGCTAAGACGGGAGATAACGTGAAGCGACTTCGACATTCCATTCCCTTTGAACCACGAGACTGGCGTTCCCGGCTCTCATAATTTATCTCCCACGCGATCGTTTCGTAAGGACGGCCGGCCATCAGATACCTGAGATGATCGGCCGGCGAAGGGGTGGGACGGCGGAGACCCCCGTCCGAGCCGAGGTCGTCGCTTCACCCCCACCTGACCGAAGTGGCACCGGAGCGGGATGGACGGAACCCTCGGAACTCGGCTTGGCGTGTTTCGGGCCCGTCTGGAACGGGTCTCATCCGTGTGCTGCCCACCAGCTTTGGCCGTGATACGAGGAGAAGCATCCAAGCGCAAGGGTCCGTATGATGTATTTTCCGAAAGCCACAAAAGCAACAAGGGGGGTGCCGGGATGCCTTCGGACTCGCAGGCTTTAAGACTTAGGTGACCTGCTGGCAGCCATCACCCTGCGTCTGTTTTGACGCGATGCTTAGTTTCACTTTTTGCGCCGCAATGTCACCCCCCGGGCGGCGGGGCCAATGAGGGGGGAAACGGGACTGTTGATGCGCCGCCGTTGCGCGAGGCGATTTTATTGGACAGAACACCTTTGTGCAACACCGAACTCCGGGCAACTGTGGCGGTTTTCTCTGCTGCGCCGCCAGGCTAGCCCTGTGTTCCTGTTC